CCCACTTGGAACCAAAACAAAAGCATATCGCCTTGAAAAATACAGCGGCTACTCTGGCTATACATAAGGAATTGGAATAATCGGATGACAGAATTCAGCAAAACAGTGGAAACAATGGATGGAGTATCCTTGTGCCATTGAATAACGTAACATCTACAAACTGTTGAAAATTCCAAAGACAAATATGTCAAACCTGAGCTTTTAACTTCTACAATGAACTCGGCACTCTAAATATATCCAGATTCTTTACCAGCTAGCTATCAAGATAGTCCAACATCTCCTTTGGTTGGTTCATCCAAAATGAAGCTATTCATCCTATGAAGCCAAATCAGTGCGCTCTCTTTTTGTTTCGATATAAGAGTGTTCGAAAGTACAATTTAAAGCTCATTTAAGCTTTAGTATTTTGAATACTTCTATAATCTTTTGACTAAAATTAACTGCGTGTTAGTCTAGACCAATTAATTTGACTATCAGTGTATTCTTTCTAAACAATAATTTCTGAAGAAGGTAATCCACATATACTCATATTTAGCATGTTCTAGATTACAAAATATTTGTGTATTAAAAGGATGAAAAAGCTGCAGTTGAAAATTATTATTCATTTGGAAGTAAAATAGTTAGTCCACCTCGCTCGCCTTTCACGCTGACGGATATATGCGGCGTCATACTTGATATGCACAAATGTCTGCAGAGAGAAAGCAATTATGTTTTTCACAACTGCAAGCTAAATTAAAAGAACTTAATGAAAAAGCGGCGACACTTGCATCATTCAAATAATGCACTATCTTCTTCAGAAGCTGATAGTCAAGCTGGAAAACGAAGTGTGCTTGCAATTTCTGTCCTCCATTGGCTTCTGAGGAAGGTCAAAAAAGTAAATATTTTCTTCCTTCTCATAGACATTCCTCTATTAATACATATAAATGCGCACAATGGCGTATGTATGTAGGTATATTTGATGCATAAATTGATCTACCATCATTTAACTTACTTTTGTTTCATCGTTTAAAAGGTCATGCTTCTGCAACTACATATACAGCTGATTGCTTATCTTTGAAGTAAGTGAGTCCTGAAAAACTTCGGCCCATGTTGCCAATGGGAGTCGGGCCTGTCCCTATGATGGATACTTGGTGAGTGAAGCAGACTCTAAAGTGGGCTCCCTGTACATTGTACTTTTAGATAATTGCTGATGGTTTTGCTACTCGTGGTATTTCAAATGTGTTGCATTTTACTTTTTCTAGCAGCCCCTTATCGAGTCAGACAAGACAAGTTAAAGTGCGTTGTCTCTATCACAGAAGTTGATTCACATGGGAAGGTCCCTTGTCTGAATGCACTTCCCATTGTTCTGGATGTTCCTTTGGGAATTCTCCAGTTATATGCAATAGATGTGGAGTCCAGATTGTGCATTGACAAGTGCATGAACATGCTCAGAGTTGTCCTGTGAGTGCTTTTCATGCATATGTAGTACTCATCTTTTCCTATAAGGAATGATTTCTTAGTATATCTTCTATCCAGGGTTTATATCCTGCACAACAGGCAGCTAATGGTGCCCAAGATAATCCTAGCTTTGGAGCAGCCACCACTGTTGCTGGTGATGACTCGAATCAGACTACAACTCATTTAGGAACTCCAGCTTCTCAAACACCAAATTAAAGCACTACTGCTTCCCTACTCCATGGACAAGATCCTAATCAGCAGACAAGTGCCAGCTCTCAGACTCCTGCTACAGCTTCAGCTGGTGTGCCTACTTCAGATCAGTGGTATCAGCAACAATATCAACAGTATTTTCAGCAATATGCTGGATATGATCCTTATCAACAGCAAACTTATCAACAATACTATCCCTATCAGCAACAACCCGTCCAACAATATTAGCAACAACCTCCAATTTACATGCAGCCACCAGCACAAGCCCAGACCCCAATCCCAGGACAGCCTCAATCCTAGCCCCAGCCGCAACTATTGAATCCTCAACCTCAACCTCAACCTCACATGCAAGCTCTACCTAAAGGGCCAACTCAACCACAGGTTCAAGCTATGGCTCAGCAACATCAAAACCAGGTTCAAGTCAACCCACAGCAGCAGCTTCCATGCTCAGCCACCTACTCAGCCTCCGCCATATCCTCAGCCCTATCCAATGCAACCTCATTCACAACACCATGTGCAGGTGCCACAGTATCAGCAGCATCCCGCCCAGGTTCACCCTCCCCAGTCTTCTCAAGCCCAACCGCAGTCGTTTGTGCATCAACCTCATTCACAACTTCAACCGCAGATAAGTGTTCAACATCATCAACAATCTCATGGCCAATTGCGCCCCCCTCAGGCTGGCCAACCTGCTCATAGACAGACTCAGACCCTCCATTCAACAGCCAATGCTGTTTCAGGGTACAATTCCTATCCACAGCCCCAGCCCATGCAGCAAATGCCTATAGGGTTTACACAGCAAACTCCAATACGTCCACATCCTACTAGTGGGCCTATTCCTCCAATTCAAACTCATAGTCAGGTTCCTCAACAACCTCCTTTGCGCACCAATAAGCAATGTCTTTCAAGGTCAAACTCCTGCACAGTCTCAACTTTATCCTGCTCCACAAGCAGGGCATTTATTTCAGCAACATCCTATTCAGCCTAATCAACAACCAATGTCTCAGCAATACAGTCAACAACAGGCATTTCCTGGTCCATTGCAGAGTCAGTCACACCAACAGGGTCATCTTACTCACCAGCAGCCTTTGCAGTCTCAGTTTCGCCCGCAAGGTCTTCTAGTCTTTCAAAGTATATCAATGACATTTTTATTTCAAGAATAGAAATAGTAATCAAGATGAAACTTCGGTTGTTTTGTATGGAATTATCCGCTGTTTGAAAAAAGCTGATTCTCATATCGTTCTTGAATCGGACTTATTAATATCTGAAAAGTGTGTTGGAAATTGTATGCTACTTTACAACTAATTAGAAGGAAGTTGTATTCGTCTCATTACTAAAGGTGATGAAAGGCAAAGTCAAAAGCGACAGAGTTAGATAGCATATATAATGTCTTTAAAGAAAAAAGAGGTCACCAAAGCATTCATTATATTCTCATGAATCATAAACTTCCAATAAAAACAAGACCTCCAGTCTTTTATGTACTCATAATACTGATTGCAAAAAACTGCACTATTGGACTAAAAGAAAATCTATTTAAGCTGGTTTAAACAAAGTTTAATTATATACAGAGAAGATAAATGAATTTACCTCTTCATCATGTAACATAAGATTCTGAAATTTTATCTTTTCTCTCGTGACTTTCTCGTTCTCAACTTCTGTTTAGAACTTAAACTTTGCATGTCCAATTAGGTGTCAGGTATCAAAACATCACGGTACACAACATTAATCATATAACACCAGTTGCACCTGATAGGACATGCAAAATTCAAAGTACTGGACATAAGTTGAGAACGAGAAAGTCATGAGAGAAAGATGAAATTTCAGAATTTTTTTTCGAAAGATGAAGAGGTAATTTTATTTATCTTCTATGTATACAATGAACTTTGTTTAAATCAAGCTTAAACCCAATGGTACAGTTTTTTGCCGGTCAGTGCTATGATTACATAAAAATTAGATGTTCTGGTTTCATTGAACGGATATGATTCATGGGAACACAATGGTACTCAGGTGACCCCTTTCAATTTTAAAGCAGTTATATAAGCTATACCCGACTCTCGCATTTTTGACATTGTCTTCCATAATCTATAGTCTTGAGATGACCCCAAAACCTTTTCTAATTCATTGTATAAGTAAAATACAACTTCCAAAGCACTTTTCAGATATTAATAAGTCAGATTCAAGATCAATATGAGAACAAAAATTTTCAGAACACTGGTTAATGCCATATAAACTGCCGAAGTTTCATCTTGATTACCATTTCAATTCTCAATATTATAACATTAATTAGTGATAAACTCTAAGGTAGTCAAATCTCCTGCTTCTTCTTTTTTAAAGTAGCAATTGGTAGAAAGTCATAGCTGGTTCTTCAACTTTCTTCTTTAGATTAATTCTGTTTTATTTCAGCATTTATGATGAATGTAGCAAATACCTTATACTTTCATATATGACCAGAGCTGCCAACAAATAGAGGTGAGGACCTGCAATCCAAGTATTTCCTTCAGCTACATGAGATAAAGGTAAAGTAATTTGCTAGGTGCTGTTGTATTTACTATGTATATAATTGATATAGTGGTTTTGCCAACTGCAAGGCAGTACAAATAATTGTGCATCTGATGTATATTCTCTCCCACATTTATTCTCAATTCGATTCATCTACCAAATCAAATTTAGTATGTCCTTTAGTACTTTAATGTCCAGCACCTACCCACCCCAAAAGAAAAAAAGTAAAGAAGATCAAGTATCATATCCCTTTTCAGGTTCAACATGATATATGGAATATTTTTATCTCATAATCTACCCAGTTTATTTGAACTGAATAAAAACAGACACTATAAACATGTATTTCAGACAACTAATAAAAACAGACACACTAAACATGTATTTCAGACAACTAACTACTGAACTGAATCATACTAAAGGTCTAGCAACCAAAACTATTCCTTTGTAAGATTGGCCTGCTTTTGCTTAATCTTATTGGTAAAGATGTGATTGTTTAATCTCTTTTCCTTTTTCAGCCGTCTGAGATTCACAGGGCCATAACATATATTTTGACGGTCCTAGTGTCACGACCCGAATTTTCCACCCTCGAGTCGTGATGGTGCCTACTAATGAGAGCTAGGCAAGCCAACCCTTAATTATCTTTGTCATTAACCAATTTACCTCTTTTAACAATTATCAGCAATATCGTAAAAACAGCGGAATAAAATAAATAAGCGGAAGTCTTAAATTAAAGAATCTGAACAACAATGCGGAAATCAACATAAACCTCTACCCAAGAACTGGTGTCACATACTCACGAACTACTAAGAGTGCTAAATACAAACGTTTGAAAGAAAATATAACTGTTTGTCTCGAAATACATGAGATAACAGACTGAAATAAAAGATACTATGACAAACATTATTTACACTAGAGCAATTTAAAGGATATCATTACCGTCTGCAGAAGCATGACCTCTTAAACGATAAAAGAAAAATAAGTTCAATGATAGTACATCAATTTATGCATCAAATATATACACATACGACATTATGTGAATATATATGGATTTTTAATAGAGGAATGTCTATGAGAAGGAAGAAAATATTTACTTTTCTGACCTTCCTCAGAAACGAATGAAGGACAGAAATTGCAAGCACACTTCGTTTTCCAGCTTGACTATCAACTTTTGAAGAAGATAGTGCATGATTTGAATGATGCAATTGTAGCCTCTTTTTTGATTCAGCTCTTTTAGCTTGCAGTTGCGATAAAATAATTGGTTTCTCTCTGCGGACATTTGTACATATCTCGTACGACGTCGCATATATCTGTCAGCACGATGATGTTCTTAGTGTTCTGAGTCCATGCAACGGATCGCCCTTGTCTGCCTGAATTCCTGTTGCAGGTAGTTTTCAATTTTGTTAAAGTAATTGTCACAATTTGGTCTAATTCTAAAATCATACATTTATACTAATTTTCTCGCTAAACACCAAGTTAGACTGACAGTATCAAAATACAACTGAAGGATATGCAAACAAATGACACGCGTTTCAAAATAACCTAATGTGTGTACAAAATACAGATATACTGGAGCAAAATCACCATCAGAAAACCAAGTGATGTTAATCCAGAGTGAGAAAATTATGGATAAATTCAGTTGTGAACCACAAATGAGAACTAAAAGCAATTCAGTTGTAACATATAAGTTTCTATGGTGCCTATGACAACTTAAAGCATCCTAATTCAGTTTCCTTGACAATAGCCTTCACAAATTGATAAATGGGACACATCTATACAACCATGAAATAAACATAAAAAGAAAGCACATTGTTTCCTTGACAACCCCCTTCACAAAATTGATAATGTTAGGACGATTCAATATTAAGGAGTAGAACTAAAAAAGAATAGACACCTCATACCTCAGCGTGCACCAAGTCAATACACAAGCAAAATTAGAAGAAATCCAAGTCAGTTTTTTACAAAAGTTGAATCTAGAGGTGAAATATTTTTGAAGTTTTATATCCCATGATTAAAGCTGCACTGTTTACCCAAGAAGAACTGCTCAATACAAATAAAATATCAAAATCAGTAACTGACTATTATCATTACCAAAACAAAAACAGAACACCAAAATTCTTGTTTCAAAAAGAATAGATCCAAAATAAGGGGATGAAAAGAAAGAGGAATGTACCTCAAGTCTTGAAAATTGAAAATTTTGAAAACGCTTTCTCCTGATTTGGCCTGCTAATTGTTCTGGCTTTGGAAATTAAACATTTTCTCCTTGTACATAAGGCTCCTTACCCACATAAATTAATCCGCAGAAGTATAATCTTCATGCATAGAGAATAAAAGTTAGCAAATCTTGCATCTCGTAATCTGTAATCACAAATGAAGAAAGGGAGAACATAAAGCAAATATCATGTCTGTGAGGTAGCCGGAATAGAGAAAAATAAGGAAAAAAAGAAGAAAGGAACATGCCGAGAAAGAGAGAAATGAATGATCCGAAGAAGAAAAAATGGCACAAATGGGTATGGAAGGTGAAAATCAGTGGAGTGGAGAAGATGGAATTCCAGTGGAATGCAAGGAATAGGGAGATTTTGGTATGCGGGAGACTCGCAAGGCGAGCAACTTGATGGGCAGAGCCTCTCCGATATGCGTGAAACTTTGACAAAGCTCACGTTCGAGCTAGAAGCGGCCAAGGAAAGACAAAAGCTTAGAGATGCTCAGTACATTGGCATGCAAGCTCTGTACCATGGCATGCAAGCTCAGCTCAATACTCTCCTAGCTTCTCGAGCTTTTCCGATTCCCCGGTCTCGTGAGTCATTGCCGGAGGCTCTGCTTGAACGTGAGCGTTCCTTCCGTCCTCCCCTTGCTAGTTGTATTGTTGTTATTGTGTTGTTGTTGTTGTTGTTGTGGTGTTGTTGTTGTTGTTAGGTTGTTGCGGAGATTTTGGAATTTAAATTGTAGTTTATGAATTGAATTATATTGTTATTTAGAGATTTTGGTGTGCTGGCAGGTGCTGTAGCTGCCAAAACAGGCATTTTATTCAAAAATTATTACCCAGAAAAGCGACCAAAGTTGATCGCTAACCTATTAAAAAAAATCTGGCAATTAGCGACCAAGGTTGGTCGCTTATATCTAAAAAAAATTTAAAAAAAAATTTGCGACCAAGGTTGGTCGCTGATGAACCCAGATTTTATTAAAAAAATCCTGGAAATTAGCGACCAAGGTTGGTCACTTATATATAAAAAAAAAAGTAAAAAATTAAAAAATTAAAAATAAGCAACCAAAGTTGGTTATGAACCAGATTGTTAAATATATATTTTATTAAAATAATATATATTTTAATTTACAGACCAAAGTTGGTCGCTAATTGTTGAATTATAATAATTAAAAAAATATCGTAATTTAAATATACAGACCAACGTTCGTCGCTAAATTTATATTATTAAAATATTATACTGACCAAAGTTGGTCGGTATTTTGTTTACACTGAATATTTGTTCATTTTATCTTAGCGACAAACTTTGATCGCTAAGGTAAAAGGACCACCAATATAGCAGCCAAGTCTGTTTGGACGCGTTTTGATCGGTATATTGAGATAAGCGACCAACGTTGGTCGCTATATGTGATCGCTTTTTACCGAATTTCTAATAGCGAATGCGAATATTGAGTACTAGGTGGAAGAAAAGAAAGATTAACCATTGATTGTATCAAGCATGATGTCAAATCTTAGTTTGCCTTGCCCTCTAAAAAAAATTGAACTTTAACACACAAAAAAAATTGATTCAACCATCTCTTTGTGTTGAATCTGATATTTTGAATACCATAGATTTAGAATACTAACAAATCACATAATATTCCCACCTATTTTTGTCTCTTTTTTTGAAATTCAGAAATAGTAAGCGGTTCCATAAGGAATTTCTGAAGTAAGTTATTTATCTTATAATGTTATTATTAATCAAGGATTTCTTATATAGCTAGAATGACCCTCACAAATTGCGAATACTAATTTGTTAAGAATTAATCAGACTGAGGATATGACGTCATCATTCGCTGGAATTGAAATATCTGCGGGGTCACAATTTGTATCGGTTAAATAAATTATTGGAATTCCTAAAGTAATACACTCTTGCAGGGCCGTATATCTTTCGTGCTGATCAACAATGATTATATTATCGGACACATGAATCCTGGCCAGATATGTTTGCAAGCAAGATAATTGTCTTTTCAGTATAGCTGCACTTTGGGGGGGGGGNGGGGGGGGAATATGCCTTCAAATTTTAAAGACCTCGTGGCCACGTTTCTGTTCTTTTCTGTTATCAGTAACTAATGGAAGATAGTAAGTATTCAATGAATATATCAACCGAAGAGCATATGAATTGGTCTGGGTAAAAAATGATTTGAATGTTCAAGATCAAATTGAATTATAGATTCATTCATTGATTCATATCAACGACAAAAACTATACAGCAAGTTCACATGTACCTTTTGAGCTAAGTCAATTTCATGAGCTTTTTTATTCGTTCACATGAAAGTGGACCCTTTGTTGGATAGGTTTGTTTAACAAATAATTCTTCTTTTGGTTGAGAAATTTCCTAATTTCCCAGGAATTGGATAGGATTTCTCTTTTACTAGTAATCCAGCCAAATCCAAGAAATTTCACATTGTGGTACAACTTTATTACCAATTCCTTCAGTACATTCCTAAGGATATAAATGAGATTCCCCCGTGATACAGACAGTCCAATTTTCTAGTATATATTTAAAAATGCCACTCAACTTTCAGGAATGGTCTATCCATATCATCCGTTAAAAAAATGCTCATTTTATGCCACTGCCGTTAAAGAAATGGTCCATCCATGCCATTATTGACTAACGGCAGTGATGGATGGGCCAAATAAAAATTGAGCCGTTAGTCAATAATGGCATGGATGGACCATTTCTTTAACGGCAGTGGCATAGAATTAGCAATCTTTTAACGAATGGCATGGATAAACCATTTCTGAAAGTTGAGTGGCATTTTTAGGCCTTTTCCGTATATTTAATCTAGTGCAAGTGGTCGATCATGCCATACTACACACATGGGGTGTGTGTACATGGACCGGATTGGTTCGATTCTAAATCAAATCAAACCACTATATCGGTTTAGATTGGTTCGGTTTTGTCGGATTATTTTGTTACATAAACATTATTTCAGTCTTATTTTGTTAAATTTTTTATACGTAAATATATATTTAGTAAAAATTAAAAAAATTGAAAACATATGATCTATTAAAATTTATGGGAGAATTTTTAGTAACACATGATAGTTATTTTTTTAATCGTCTGACAATAATTTTTTGTTCATGTACACTTTCAAAGTTAACTGAATTTAGTAATTAAACATAAGAATTAATATAATAGCTAAATAATGATATGTTCTATTTGATTTTAAATTATCGAAATACCACTTCAAATTTAAAAAAGATATAACAATTTAATAGATCTTGACATATGAATATGGAAGAACAAAGAGATTGACACATTTCAGTAACACTTGATAAGAAAGTAATCATAGAACCTATTATTTATAGTTAATAAAAATGGGAACACTTCGTATTTAACTAAACATTACATCTCATAAGAGAATCGCAAATATTTGTAGACATTTTTGAAAGAAAATTCTAAAAAAATATCTTAAAAGTATATATAAAAATTATATATTTATATGTCGGTTTTGTTCGGATTTTTTTCTCAATACCAAACCAAATCAAACCAAACCTAGTCGGGTTTTTTAATCAGTTTGGTTTGGCTTTTTGGATTGTGTGATTCTTCGGTTCAGTTTTTACCCCCCTTGACACACACACACAAAAAAAAATTGAAAAATATAAGTATACATAATTTTTACCCTTGACATACTTGCATATTTTTAATTTTTGTAATTATAATTTCTGATCCATTGATCAAAATGGTGACACTTCGTCTTTTTTCATAAAAATAGCAAATTGCAGTATACAACAACTAATCTCGAGTACTGAAGGCAAAATCCAGCTAATTGCAAAACCTCACCATAGATACGCAAGAATTGTTTCCTAATTTTATATCAACTTCCCATGATTTTTACTACAAACTCTAGGGCCGCTTGTTTATTTTACTTTGCAATTTGAACGATTGCAGCAGAAAAAAGTACATGTCAGCTCGATAGCGACATTACTAGGACATTATGCAAGTGGCTTACAGCTAAGATTTAAGCTTATAGATTCGAAATTCTAATTATTTTAAGTTATTGGGTTCTAAATTATTAATCTATATATATTTAACAAATTTTCGAAAGCAAATACAATATTCGAATTAAATCTGCTAGGTTCGGCCGAACCCGTCCGACGCTCTAGTTCCGCCCCTGGCCCACGTAATATTTTTTTGGTTTCTTACTTAACAATCGTGTCTGCTTTATCAACTAATATAGATTGGCATCGAAAAATTTTACTTTTGAGATATAGCTCGTTCCGGAGATTATTTATTAAAAATGGAAGAGTATACTACCCGTCCACCACAATTTAGTGGGAGTACCCCACATGGTAAATTACACATAAAAATCATGTTCAATAATTCTAGATTCTATGGACGGCTCAAAACAACTTTATAAGCAACGCAATAAATTAATGAATTATCAAAGCAATAAATAAAGGAAATTACTTGTTATATTGTACAATACTTTTTTTTTTGGTTTCCCACCGATATCCGGTACCTGCATTGGAGCCCGACTATATCCAGATTCGCGCCGTATAGGGCCCCATTCGGGGGAAAGCGCTCTCTACCAAGGATTTTTCCATACCCAGTGCTCGAACCCGAGACCTCTGGTTAAGGGAAGAGCAGTCTCATCCACTGCACCACATCCTTTGGTGGTTATATTGTACAATACCAATATAAAGCAAGTTGGTTTTATTCCACTTTTGTTTAATGAATACATTGTATTATGAGTACGAGGTCTTTAAGTTTCTTGGTGTAATAATAAAACGAGCAACCAATCATCCTAACTGAATTCTTTATTAATCTCATAAAGGGATTATTTTTTTTCAAATTGACTAAATTGCATTTTGTACCTAAATAAATCATGGGCGTCCTATGTTTTTCCTATCTTTTCTTAAAATAATATTAGCACCTCAGGACAAAAGAATCATTTATAGAAGTTAAGATACATGATCCATTTTATGTAGAGGTTGTGCTCTTCATTAAATAGTATCTTAACTTTCTAAACAACGTGTTGAATACAGAACCCTCTCTTTACAATGTTAACTAGGAAAATCATATTCTAGTCATTCAAATGTCAATAAACTTTGATTTTGGTTCTTATCATATCTGATTAAGCACATTTGATCTTGAATTTTAGTTGAAATATTATGCACTTTTAATGATCTTTTCCCTTGTGAATATTTACAAATTTATAGAACTATTAACCGTTACACCATTTAGTTTAATTGTTATGTTAGTTAAGTTTGTATTGTTACTCCATATTTGAGAGTAATATAGTTTTTTACTTCACAAAGTCGGGATGGATGTAGTCTTTTGGTTAGAGGTTCAACTGAACATGTAACTTTCGACACGTAGTATATGAATTTATACGTAAAACTTACTAAAATCTCAACAAGTATTAGATTTGAACTTATAATTTTAACAGTACAATAAGTTCAATGATTAAAAATTTTAAAAGATGGACCTATTAAATTTATATCCCGAATTCGCTCTTTCACAAAGTACACGTGTTTTGGCACACGATATCAACAAGTAATTTAGAAAGCAATCTCTTTTTTATGGTAGGGATGTTTTTGATAAATTCCTCCATTGTGTTTTCTTCCAAGAATGTGGATTTACATTTTTATCGTGAATTAATTTCTAATTATTGATTTGTAATTATTCGTGACAATGAGTTGTAGTCTCATCACTCTCATCATTACGCTTAAATAAATTGAATAAGTCACATATTATTAGAATGTGATATGATTTAGTATAACGTCTTATTTAATATTTTTGGTCGTCATCGATTTCACGGAGTAGGTAGAGGGCAGGATCAATAGAAAAAGATTTGATTCCCTGCACATATAAAATTGTATGTATTTTTTTAATAAAATAACTATTAGAAACTTATATCTAATTAAGATCCAGCACGTGTTCCTGTGAAAACCTTATCTTCAATGTCAGATGAATTTTTTTCATTGTTGGGGAAAAAAATCTTTTATTTTATTTGAAAATTGTCACTTTATTGCAATAACTAGTTGTATAATTGTTTATTGGTTATCAATATTTTATAGAACTTGATCCAACCGACGGTTAATTTTTGTAACTTTTTTTTTTTTTTTTGCTTAGTGATGTTTTGATTTGGCGTTGAGTTGTTTGGAAAGAATCATTTTGAAAATGTTACTAGAATATGTTCCATTCAAACAATAACCTGTATGAATTAGGTTAGCTTTGTTAATGATTTATTGACCAAAAAAGTATTTTAAAAGAAGACACCGCCATTATGCTTTTAAGATTTTGAGACGAGCAAGTACGTGAAAAATTAATGTTAATTACATGAAGCCGAATGAAGTAGGGGATTGAGGAACAAATTAAGAAAAAAGATTCCACGCCTGTCTTCAACCTACTAAAATATCTGTAGAACAAAATTACCTTTTACTTAAAGAATACCAAAGAGGGTAGATGATCTAATCTCAAATTCTGATAAATTAAAATCTAATAAACAAAATCTATAAAGTTAAGACTATATAGAAACTCAATAAAATTTTCTTCCTGAACATTTTTTTCAAAGATATTTTGTCCGTCATTTACAAACAGTATATATATGTCAAGTTTTTAGGGCCAGATATATTAATATTTTGCATAATAAATATAGAAGAATTAAATTAAGTAGGTGTCTACCAATTGCTTAAACTTAAAATAGCCGGCGCGCGCGCGCACACACACATATATATATATATAGCCGTATATAATTTAGGTATACTGTTTGACCAAAAAGTACGAAACCTTTTGTTAAACTAATTAAATAAGAAGATAGAGGGCAAATCCTAGTTAAGGATAATTAATTCTTGATCTGAGATGGATAACATGAATAGAAAAATATACTTGAGTACAAATGTTGGCAGTAGTTATGGCCGGATCTAATAGTTGAAAAAGACCATGCATTAAATAACATTAACTGGCAACAAAATGCCTTCAACTGTTATGACCACGGGCGGGTCGGCACGGCCTGTCACCGCATCCAAGATTTCAGTTCTGTGTAGACTGTTCGTAGGGCGGTTGCTCCGTCGGCGAGGGCGCAGACCCATCCTTGTTCCATTTGGTGAATGAGCCGTCGACGGACGAGAAAGAAAGTGGTCCCTTGAGAGGTGGTGAATTAGGACCGGAGGTGGTGTCGAGATAGATGAAGGCTCGGTGGGTGATGAGTCCGAGCTCGCCGTGTCTGTGCGTGATACTGGCATAACCTCGGATGATGGGATTCCGGCTCTGATATTGAGATTGTTTCCTCGCCAATGGCTGCCGCAGTCATGCCGGGAAGTGATCCTTCTATCTCCGTGCCAGTCGGGATTCCTTCTTCTACTGAGGAGGCGGAGAAGGGCGTGGCTGGCGATAATTTTTTAATCCAATTTCGACGTCGACCCCGAAGAAGAGAAGATGTTTGATGAGGGGCTTACCCGGGTCGAGGTGAGGACCGATGGGACTTCTCGTTTGGTAGTGATTCCTTTGGACTGTAACTTGATGACCAGCACGGAAAGCATAGTCCCTGCTCTAGTGCCCCTTTGTTCTAGCGTCGAGCATAGGACTCTTGAGTCGTTCAAGGACGCCGACCTATCGTTGAGTATATCTAGTTGGCTCTATTGGTGAGTTATTTCTTTTGTTTTCCCTTGTCACGACCCAATTTAGGATCATGACCGGCACCTAGGAGCAAGTGCCCCCAAGTAAGCCTCGTCGATATTTTACAAAAAATCGGACAGAGTTTCCCCTGTTTTTGGATTATCCTGAAAACTTTCCCTGTCTCAAATCAGCAACCAAACATCGTAATAGCAATTCAAATGACAATGACCTTATCAATTAACAAAAATAAATATCTACCTTTAATAGTCCACCCACCAATAACTAGAAATACTACTTTATCTCCAAATTTGATAAGAATGAGCGATACTCAACATAAATCTATAATAATGAAGAATACTCAAGAAACTAAAAAATTTGACTATGGAGCGACTCTAAGAGTTCAAAGAAAAGACTATAACAATAAATAAAATCTCCGCCCACGCGAACAAATGCGAGGCTCACCAGAAACTATCAACTTGTTCGTCTGACTAACGAAATCCTCGCCCTTCAACTGTTGTCTCTGGAAAAAAATAGCGGGGAGTGAGTCGCTTGCTCAGTGAGTAATAACACTTAACCACACCCTTTTTTTAATTGGGGACAAGTCAGAAAACATGCCTGTATAATAATAATTAGGAACTATCATAAAATTAAAATGCCCTTTAAAAAAAACAGTAATAATAATCAGTCTCATCATGTGTTTCCTGTAATAGAAATCAATTTAACAATTCAGTAATAGACTCGATAAGCACTGTGTCATATCAAATCTTTATGTTTGGGAGGTTTCTAAGGAAGGATCATGTAATCTGTATCACTGTATGGACCCCTTCGTAAAAGGAGTCAAATATAACTGTAGGTCCCTACTCGAGGGAAAACTGTAACTGTATGCTAGTTCTACCTTCCGACTAGCGAGGGCTATAACTGTAATCGGTAATCTGTAAATACAAGGTGCACCAGGTCTAACGAACCCGCCTTTAGCTACGGGATCCTTCAAAGTCTCCTCCCATTTATACTCTTTCTTGTAAACAGTAAATACTCGTACAAAAGCATTTTCAAAATAATAAAGGGCATATCATTTCTTATCAAATATTGTAATTTTATTTCTGTAATGGAAATCATGTCTCAAGTAACAGTAAAACACGTCTAGTAACGGTAATAATAATTTAAATAACTATAACATCTCAAGTAACGATAAAACATATCTAGTAACGGTGGAAACATTTAGATTAACCGGTAAACATCTCAAATAAACTGTTCAGTACCATATCAAGTAAAGGACTTGTCCCACATGCAATTTCAAACATTCGGTAAGACATTTATTTTCAAAATAATGTATAAACCATGCAGGTTATGAAAACACAAATTGCGGTAAGATTACTACTCACAGTACTCGTGCAGGAATACCAAACGCGTCACCTCGAGCACTTCGTTCAATTTCTTCAACTATCTACTTGTAACAAAATCAATCTTGTATTACTTCGTGAATTACCAACATAATTGGTCCATCCCTATCACATTTAATTAATATTTCTGTTTTCATTCCTCTGAAATAGGACCATTGATTCTATGCTAAGCAATTTAGTAGTACTTAATTCGATAGAAACTATAGTTCTCCGTTTATTCTTATATTTTTATTTGAATCTTTTTCTCATGTAGCACTTTACAAGTATTGCTAACCCGTACATTAGAGTTCTTGGTATAAATTAATAGAATATATTCTTGGTCAATCTTCATATGGAATCCATGATTCTGCTAAATAAAAAGAACACCTTAAGTTTCTTGTTTCTTTCGTGAAATGCCAAACTAAATCTTAATATAGTAATTTATCTAAAATTTGATAAAGATCAATATATATACATGTTTAAGTAAAAACAATACTACTACGCTATTTTTTTTTCTTTACATATGATTCGTTTTCTACTCTAAGCAATGAGCCAAAACCAGAAAAGGACATAATTTTCCATAATAATTCTCATAAGTATTTAATCTTCTAGTACCCAATATGATCGTGAATCAGAGAACAAGAGCAAGAACATTATGGAGAACTTACCCTCTTTAAGCCGAAAGAGATCTAAAACAATAAGAGTTTCTTGGTTCTCTTTTCCAATTTTTTTGAGTATGATTAGAATGTTTGTTTGATAAAAATTCTATTGCACAAAACTCTTTGGTGATTTCTCTGTTTCGCATCAGCTCTAAAGCTCTATTAAAGTTTCCCAATTTTTGATTCAATAATTTCACTCCTAAAAGATGAAGGACCCTAATCCTTTTTTTTTTCTTTTGGTTTATTTTTCCTTGTCTGATACAGTAATGAACAATACAATCTTATTTTATTTTCATCACGTAATGCTTCACAAATACTTAGTATCCTTGCACTACAGTGTTTGTTATATTTATTCATCTAATAAGAATTCCTAACTGTTATACAGAATACATTAAGCTCCCTTATCTTGTCTTTGCCCTTAGTTAGAGAAACAACAACTGTTCCTAGGCTTGGTATAGAGAAAATTCGATTTTTACCTTGTTCTTCTCTACAGAAAGAAATCCAACGATGCACAGGAAATCCCTTGAATCAAGAATCACGATATTGGGGCTTCAAACTTAAATTAACTGATCCTAAAGTTTCCTTCTCTGGTAGAAAGATTTTTTTTCTTAGCTTCTGCTTCAATCGCAGCATATGTGCTGCGTTTCCTTCCCCCAAAATTCCTTTAGCTTTTGCGTTATTTTCTCCTAATGCCCTACCACTTTGCAGATGGGTTAAGGCCCATTTACATACTATCTCTTTTTTTTTTTTTTTTTTTTTTGCAATTTACTTAACTACCCATATTTTTTAATAAGAGGTATTACATCCCTTCTCTTTTTTGTACTCCTATTGAGCCTCCTTTTCTTTTCTTGCTTGCTATCTTTCTTTGTAGACACTTATCTTAGAAATTGAGAGTACCCGCCGAGCAGATAAGAAGAAGGTGGTCTTTTCGAAGATGGTTACCAAGAACCGTCGAATCCGTGATAGGTATTGTGTACTGCGTACTTAGCTTCGATCCGGGGGGGGGGGATAGGGATATTCAATATCTCAGGGAGGAGTTAAAACAGAAAGATGACGAGCTCGTACGAACCATTGGGTGATGCAGCAAACTCGAGGGGGTGCTCGGGATTAAGGAGGATCAGATTGAAGTGAATAAGGGGGTCGTGGCTGAGTGCGTCGACCTTCAAGCTCAAGTGGAATCCTTGCGGGCTGAGCGCGAACGGGACGTGGCTAGGGAAGATGGTTTGCATGAGGAGTTGGTTGGAAAGGCTGCGGAGATGGAGAGAGTCGAAGGGGCTAAAGCGGCAGCATTGGCGCGGGTGGTTGAGTTGGAGGAGTTATTAGTGCCCTTAAATCCGAACGGGCTAGTGATGCTGAAGCAACCAAGCTTAAGGAGGAGAGGTCTACTAAACGGATCGGAGGTCTCGAGAGAGAAGTTTCTACCTTGAAGGAATAGGTCATCATTCTCGAGGTCGAAAAGACGAAGATGTTGGGCCAACCGTCTTCCTTTCGTGCTTCTAATTTCCCTGATGTTCCACGACCTCTGTATGAGATGTGGATTCATGCCGAGGCTCAGCTGGATATATTTACAGGAATTTGATGATGGCGGGGAATGTTTCAGAGGTCGACTTCAAAGAGGCTCGTGTCAAGGCACGCGAAGCTAGTCTTGCTTGCGGCTAAAACCCAGCTACTCCGGGGACCAATGAGGAAGGAATTAGACGGGCTTGCATCTGATCCTTTGTGTGACGAGGAGTATCTTGATGATGAGGGTGATGGTGGATAAGGAGACGCATGACCGGGCGGTGAAGGCGGTGCTGGACCGGGCGGTGAAGGCGGAGACGACGTGGAGTAGGGTTTTGTACTTAGTTTTTGTGTTTTTCTTCCTTTTGTTTATGTGTAAGGGGGCATCTTTCTGGCCCTTTGTGAGATATATCTCCTTTTTTTGGAATGGAATGATTACAACCCTTTGTTGTATGTTACTTGGCCTTCTTATTTTTCTTCGAGTGTTTTCCTTCAAAGGAATTGTGTTAGCGTGCGCTATCTTGAACGTGGTCGAGTGTATCTTTGATTGAATTTGGGTGAAGTCCCAAGTCGTCGTACGTAACTTCTAACGAAATTATAAATTGAATTCCGGTTGGTTTGAGCATCAGTTAAATCTGGATGCTCTCGAATATGATTCTATACTACTTCAGACTAGGTCGAACGTTCTAATTCGAACGAGTTCAAATGTGAGTTGATTCGTGCGAGGTCGAACGTGAATCGATTCGGGCGAGGTCGAATGCTGACTCTTATCAATTCGATCGAGGTTGAATATGAGCTGAGCGAGGTCGAATGCTAACTCTTGTTAATTTGAATGAGGTCGAATGTAAGCTGATTCGAGCGAGGTCGAATGTTAACTTTTCTTGATTCGAACGAGATCGAAGGTGAGGTGATTCGAGCGAGGTGGTATGTTAACTCTTATTGATTCGAACGTGGTCAAATGTGAGTCGATTCAAGCGATGTCGAATGCTAACTCTTGTTGATTCGAACGAGGTCAAATGCGAGTCGATTCGAGCGAGGTAGAATGCTAACTCTTGTTGATTCGAACGAGGTCGAATGCTAGTCGCGATTGGCTTAATCTATAAGCGTATGATCTTGGTGAGATGAGAAACTCATTTGTATAAACAACTTTGCATTCATTGGAGAAGTTCCAATCTGTCTAGGCCCTTCATTCGTTAGCGTGGAGAAGCAGTCGATAGGTCGGGCAATGAAATTTGTGCTTTGATCTTCGAGATGCCCTCTCAGTTCTTCGACCTTGTCGAGGTCTTGTCTTCTACTTTCCTCATTGTTTGGCCCGCTTTCATTTGAATATCTTAGATTGGGCTTCATCGACTTCGACCGGTGTCATTGCGTCAGTCTCGTAAACTAACGAGTACAGCGTTTCTCCTGTGCTTGTTTTTCGGCGTGGTGCGGTATGCCCATAGTACTTCAGACGGCAACTCCGGCCATAGTCCCTTGGCGCTCTCGAGTTTCTTTTTCAGGATGCTCAATATTGATTTATTAGAGGACTCCGCCTGGCCGTTGCCCGCAGGGAGATAGGGTGTGGAGAGTATCCTTTTGATATGCCACTTTTTAAAAGAACTCGGCGGTCTTTTTCCCGGTGAACCGTGGACCGTTGACGCAGCTTATTTCCTTGGGGATGCTGAAGCGGCATATGATGTTTCTCCATATGAATGTGGTTACTTCTTGCTCGCATATTTGGGAGAAGGCACCTGCTTCCACCCACTTAGAAAAATAATCAGTTAAAACTAAATAGAGTCATATGTTACCTCGTCCTGCTGGGAAGGGTCCTACGATATCCATTCCCCGTTTGATGAAAGGCCAGGGCGAAGTGACTGAGCGAAGCTGCTTGCCCGCCTAAGGGGGAAATTTTTTGACATTGCTTGCACCTTTTGACGAAGTCAGTGGCCTCTTTTTTCATCGTGGGCCAATAATATCCTGCTCATATGAGGCATCTGACTAGAGCTCGATTGTTGGTATGAGTTCCGTAGTTGCCTTCGTGCACTTCCTCGAGGACGTGCCAACCGCGTATAGTACCCATAGGGCATTTAGTTTGGTGCTGGGCGGCTTCCTTTTCGACTCCGGGCAATATTTATGCGCTGAAGTCGGCGACGAAGTCGACGAGCACTTGCGACTTTATCATCATTCGTGGCTGATAGGTTACGTTGTGCTCGCTGAGTTCTATAGCCCATTTGGCCAATTGGCCTGATAGCTCGGGCTTGTGCAGAATACTCCTCAGGGGAAAGATCGTTACTACCAAGATGGGGTGGCACTAGAAGTAGGGTCTAAGCTTCCGTGAAGTTACGACTAGAGTCAGGGCCAGCTTCTCGACCTCCTCACAAATAACGTCGTTTATTGCCGAGTTGAACTTTCATCTGATTTGCTTTGCTCGGGGGTAGAATGGGTCGACGTTCAACTTGTGAGCTGCGTCCTTTGGGATACCTGGCATATATGCATGGGAAAAAGCTAATGAACCTTCCTTTTTAGCTATCGCTCTGCCGAGGAGATACATTTGGCATCATGTCCCTGTTTTCCACTTCGTTGATGGTGCGGAAGAGGTTGGCAGTGGTGTCGACTGCTGCTTTCCTCTTTTCCTCTCCGTTGCCTGTCATGTCAGATTCGTGCAAACAAGGGAAACACCAGTTTTTGCAAAGTTTTATGCTTTTTTCTTCTCAGGTCTAGGAGAGACTAAAATTTAACTAGAAAATCCCCACATACGGTGCCAAATTGTTTGATAAAATTTAACTAGAAAATCCCCACATACGGTGCCAAACTGGAAGCCGCGCGGCCGCGGTGCATTTCTGCGCGGTCCGCGTGGCTAGGTTCAGAGGGCCAGTGAATTCCAGGTCGACCAGCGCGGCCGCGCACCAAATCAGTGCGGTCCGCTGGAAGATTCAGAGAGTGGGTCTTGGGTCCATTCAACCAGCGCGGCCGCGCACCAAATCAGTGCGGTCCGCGCTGGGTAGGTTCAGAGAGTCATTTTTCTTCCCTTCCTCGGCGCGGCCACGATGCATTTTTGTGCGGTCCGCGCCAGTCTTCAGCACAGTATATAAAGTCGGGATTTTCAGTCATTTTTCACTTTTTTCAAAACCCAAAGCATAAGAGGCGATTTTCCAAACGATTCCACTTCTTCAAAACGATTGGTAAGTGATTTCTAACTGATTTTCTAAACTCCTTAACATCCTTAAACATAATTTCAACTTCAAAACAAAGATTTTAATGGGGAAATTGGGAATTTAGGGTAGAACATAGGTTTTCTAAAATTGGGGGTTTTGGACCTCAATTCGAGGTCCGATTCCAAAATAACTTACATATTTGAGTTCATGGGGGAATGGGTAATCGGGTTTTGGTTCGAACCTCGGGTTTTGACCATGTGGGCCCGGGGGAATTTTTGACCTTTTGGGGTAAATTGATGAAAAAGCTATAATTAGCCATTGGGTTTGGTTAGTTTAGCACACATTGATAACATGAAGTCCTTATTGCATAGATTTGGTCGAGTTGGAGCCGGATTCGAGGGAAAGCGGTTGTGGAGGATTGTATTGGCCGCGGAAGTTGAGGTAAGTGTTTGGTTTAACCCTAGCTTGAGAGAATAGGAGTCGAGTCTTGTTTGCTAATTGCTAAATGATCGAGTACGCTGTATAGGCATGGTGACGAGTTCCTATACATTGGGGTCTAGCATGACCGTGAGTCCTTATGTGTGAGTTGTTTGGATATTGTTATGCCTTCCTTGTCATTGATGGCTTCTATACGTGGTAAACATCTTGTGAAGGATATTGCGATTGTAGAACTTCGTGGAGCATTGGCTCGGTCTGAAATACAAATGGTGAGGGCATATGAAATGAGAAATGCCTTAGAGCTTGACACGAGTGCTAATGAGAGCTTGAAGTGCCCAGTTTTGTTCTATGCGATCGCATAGTAGACTCCGCGATCGCATACCTCAGCCAATTCCTTATATGCGATCGCACCCTTCCCTCCCGCGATCGCATAGTGCTAGCCTGAGAAGCCCTCCATTTTCCTCTATGCGATCGCATAGACCAGCTCACGATCGCAGTGAACATTTTCCCCTTCCTCTATGCGATCGCATTGCCTTATCCGCGATCGCATAGACCAATTTTGCCCAGTGATTTTTTTTAAGTTTTCAGAAACAGTAGCTACATGTCTCATTCAAAAACACA